AAAAACCCCAAATCGTTGTTTTTCCAGGAATGCCCGACCCTTTCCCTTTAGGGTGGGTTTGYAGTGAGGCAGCACTCAGCACATTTCCCATCCCTGCACATTCCCAGTCCCTCCCTCYCTYCCCTGCAGACCGAGGCATTGTCACACCCCCTCCTCCATCTGTGCCACCCCAGAACGCCGTCCCCCATCAGGGGACAGCAGAGCCACCTCTGGAGCCACCTCTGGAGCCACCTCTGGAGCAGCAGAGCTGTCCCAGTGCCACCCCAGCGGGGTTTAGTGGGGTGAGTGCACGGGGACGGTGCCAGAGAGAGCTGTGGGAATCAGCTCTGGGGCTCCAACACCACCTCCTGCAGCTCAGAAAAAAGCAAAATATGATTGTAAATCCCCTCAGTGATCTCCAGCCTGGTGGCTGTCACTGTCACACCGACCCAGCAGCCAGGGAGGCAAAAAGCACAACAAAAGCACCAAACTGAAAACCAAATCAATTCCAAGAAATGCCCACACCCCGTGCGTGGCTGTGCCTGGTATGAAACGGGTTTGGCAGTTTAACTGGAAAGAGGGAGGAGTGAGAATTGTCCCAGCAGCTCCACTCCAGCATTAATTAATTAATTAATCAATGTGTTTGATGTCACCTCAGTGTCACCACAAGCCTGGGGAAGGGGATGAGAGCCAGAGGGGATCCCCCATGCCCCATTTGGCCCCTTTTCCAGCAGTACCTGGTGAGATGTGATGCTCAGGGCAGGATTGGTCAGCTCTGTTTTATCCTGGGACTTCTCCCGGGCCAAACGAGCGGCTTCCTTCACCTCCTGGAACTTCTCTGCAAACTGGAGGAGAGGGGAAAATCACTGTGCTGAAATGTCACTGTGGGGCTGTGCTGAGATGTCACTGTGGGGCTGTGCTGAGATGTCCCTGTGGGGCTGTGCTGAGATGTCCCTGTGGGGCTGTGCTGAAATGTGGAACCACCAGAGCTGATCCCCGGCTTCCTCCTCTCTCTGCAGCTTCATTTAAAACGCTTTTTAATTTCCTTCAAACAATAAAATTCAGGAGCAGCCCCTGAATTTGGCACCCGGGGCTGTGGGTTCAGCTCAGCAGCAGTGCCAGAGCAGGGCCTGCAGATTTGGCTCAATCTGTGATGCTCAGAGCACTCTACAAATAGAATTTTTGGTATCTTTGCACCTTGAACTCCTCTCCAGCCCCATTTCTCAGGTTTTTCAGGGCTCCCCGAGGGCTGTCCCTGCAGCCTCACCTGGCTCAGGTGCTGCTCCGAGGCAAAGCCCAGCCCGTACACGGTGTTGGCTCTGCTGTCAGCCCACTGCCCGAATTTCTGSGATGTTTTGGTGAAGGTCATGTTGGGGGTGATGGTGCTGTTGATGATGGCCTGTGGAGAGAGGAACAGGGTCAGGTGGATGAGTGTTCCCAGTCTGAGTCTGTGAAATACTGAAAAATGAAAAAAAAACCCTCAGTACCCCCAGCTTCCTGCACTGCTGGAAGAGATGGTGAGAGATGGGAGTCTCTGGGGCCTCAACAACTTTCTGATGTTCTGCATTTTCGTGGCAAGAAGGGCGGAAAAAAAAGGCTTAACCAGCACTGAGGACAAGAGATTACACAACCCTGAGCTGGGCAGGGGAGCAGCAAAATCACCGGCCTGGAACATCCCTGAACTCAGATGGGTTCAAAAACCTGGAACATTCCTGTGCTCAGAGCTTAAAAAACCTGGAACATTCCTGTGCTCAGATGGATTAAAAAACCTGGAACATTCCTGTGCTCAGAGCTTAAAAAACGTGGAACATCCCTGAACTCAGAGAGAATCAGGAACCTGTAACATCCCTGTGCTCAGAGAGCTTAAAAAACCCTGGAACATCCCTGTGATCAGAGAGGTTCAAAAACCTGGAACATCCCTGTGCTCAGAGCTTCAAAAACCTGGAACATCCCTGAATTCAGAGAGATTCAGAAACCCCAAAACATCCCTGCCCTGAGAGAGAATCATTCCCCGTTTCTGTAGGGCAGAGCTGTTCCTGTAGGGCAGAGCTGTTTCTGTGGGGCAGAGCCGTTCCCATAGGGCAGAGCTGTTTCTATAGGGCAGAGCCGTTCCCATAGGGCAGAGCTGTTCCCATAGGGCAGAGCTGTTTCTATAGGGCAGAGCTGTTCCCATAGGGCAGAACCATTCCCATAGGGCAGAGCAGTTCCCATAGGGCAGAGCCGTTTCTATAGGGCAGAGCTGTTCCCATAGGGCAGAGCTGTTCCCATGGGGCAGAGCTGTTCCCATAGGGCAGAGCCATTTCTATAGGGCAGAGCTGTTCCCATAGGGCAGAGCCGTTCCCATAGGGCAGAGCTGTTCCCATAGGGCAGAGCTGTTCCCATAGGGCAGAGCTGTTCCCATAGGGCAGAGCTGTTTCTGTAGGGCAGAGCTGTTTCTGTAGGGCAGAGCCATTCCCATGGGGCAGAGCTGTTCCCATGGGGCAGAGCCATTCCCATAGGGCAGAGCTGTTTCTATAGGGCAGAGCTGTTCCCATAGGGCAGAGCTGTTTCTATAGGGCAGAGCTGTTCCCATAGGGCAGAGCTG